TTGAACATCAGAAAAGGTGTTTAAATTATTTCAAGGAAAGGAGAGAAATTCATAAAGGAGTGGAGATGGAGGAAATACAAAATGAGTTGATTAGACATTAATTAAATAATAAGGAATTCATTAAGCATATTAATGGTAATTAATGTTAAGAAATAAAATGTCTATGAATGATTGTATGAAAAACCCTATGATTTGTAAGCTTTTTCCAAAAAGAATCTTTGTTTCAAGAGAGTGCTTACTTGTTTTGCCAGGGAACAGTATTGATAAAAACTGCAGAAGAATTGATGAATTTTAGTAAGGGAGAAGAAAATCTCATGGATGCACAAGTCAAAGCTATTGCTGATACCGGTGCAAATGTCATAGTAACAGGTGGCAAAGTGGCAGACATGGCTCTTCACTATGCAAACAAATATAATATCATGTTGGTGAGGTAAGAAAAAGCTGTGTTCTGTTACCCTATATTATAAAGAGTTGTTAGATGATGTTACAATGATCCAGTCAACTGTGAAGACTTTGTAATACAGTGACTATTCTTTTGATACGTCTTAGATCATTTAACATTTTTGCTCAGAGAATCCTTCAGTATTCCAATTAAAGGCATATGTATGTTAAAGAGGGCAAAAAAGGCATCCAGGCAAAAGAACTAACCTGCTTTAAGTGACTCGATCCGATTCTAATGCAGTGTCTTCATCTAGAGAATAGGGTCACTTGCCTGACTGCTCATTCCTGATGTTACTGCCTTAATGTTCAAACTAGATTACTTTTATTTCTCACTGAGTATGATTGCACCAAGTAAAACAAACATTTTCTTAGTATTTTCTAGAGATTACAGCCCTCTCAATTACAGAATAATTTCATAAAAGCCTATAATGTGGCTTTAAAAAGTGGCACTGCTAGCTGGCGGAGCTCATTGCGAGGAATCAACCTCACCTTAGCAGATAGCAGCACATCATGTGGTGTGAAACCTATAGGGTCAAAAAAATGTAACATGGGGACCAGGTTTCTGTTCACTCTGGATTTTACTGTGTTACCTGGTAGGATTAAAACATCTAGAGTTTGTTTTTTCCCTTAAGACTGAATTCGAAATGGGATCTCAGAAGACTATGTAAAACAGTTGGTGCTACAGCTCTTCCTAGATTGGTATGTAATTTTGGAAACATTAAAAGGTAGATGAACATAATTTCCATTATTTTACATATTAAGATGTTTTTTCCTCACCCTGCCCTACCCTTAGACTCCTCCTGTCCTCGAAGAAATGGGCCATTGTGACAGTGTGTATCTCTCAGAAGTTGGAGACACCCAGGTGGTTGTTTTTAAGCATGGTATGTAGTAATGATAAAATGTTTAGTATCTGTGTGGGATGTTTATGTTATTTTATTTAATCCCAAATATGTTTCATTTACTGTCAGAAAAAGAAGATGGTGCCATTTCTACCATAGTACTTAGAGGCTCCACTGACAATCTCATGGATGATATAGAAAGAGCAGTAGATGATGGTGTTAATACTTTCAAAGTTCTCACAAGGGTCAGTATTAGCAGTTGTGGGGTGTTTTTTTTTTCCATTAATAATTTGTGAGTCCTTAAAAGCATAATTGGCCAGCTCCTTACCATCATGAGCACGTTAAAATAAGCATCACATGTAAAGGAAAGCTGCTTTTTTGTGTTCATTATTACTTTCCATAATATGCAAAAAGGAGTGCCATCACAAAGTATTAAATAGTCTTAAAGTATTTGCAAGCGTACTGTATTTTGAATTGCTGAAGTAATATTAGTGCTAGATCTATAGAAATGTACATAGTATTGTGTTTGTGCTTCCGTGTTCATAACAGGGACTATAGTATCTTAAAATTTTTTAATTGCATTGGGCAAATAAAAATGACCAATTAAAAACATTAGTCTTAAAAAGTAATGAAAGCTGGGAAAATTAAACTACAAATTGCTTCTTAGAACTTCCTATGTGTCGTCTTGTTTATAATAGGATAAACGTCTTGTACCTGGAGGTGGAGCAACAGAAATAGAGCTTGCCAAACAAATTACATCATATGGCGAGGTATAGCTTTCTCTGTATTCTTTCCTCATTGCTAGAATATAATACTTTTCTCCCATTGCTAGAATAAAATGTAATAAACACATCTTTGTTTTAGACATGTCCTGGACTTGAACAGTATGCTATTAAGAAGTTTGCTGAGGCTTTTGAGGCTATTCCTCGAGCGCTGGCAGAAAATTCTGGTGTTAAAGCCAATGAAGTAATCTCTAAACTTTATGCAGTACATCAAGAAGGAAATAAAAACGTTGGATTAGATATTGAGGTATTTGGTACAAACTTAAATGTTGTTATTTTGAGCATGTACAACTTAAAAATAGAGGCAGTAAGTGTATCTAAAAGGGCAATCAATGAGAAAGTGTTTTGATATGTAACTTTTAACAATTAAGTGCTTACATAATTTACTTATTACAGTGTGTAGGTATAATGTATCTGTGCCTGGTTTTCTGGAACAGTTTAAGGAGTCATGCATTTTTGAGTGTGAACACTTAGTATTTTCGCATTAAAATTATTTCATGTTGCCAGGCTGAAGTCCCTGCTGTAAAAGACATGTTGGAAGCTGGTGTTCTTGATACCTACCTGGGGAAATACTGGGCTATCAAACTGGCTACCAATGCTGCTGTCACTGTACTGAGAGTAGATCAAGTGAGTGAAAAATTAGATCTAATTCTTAAAATGGTAATTTATATATTATTCTAAATACCTTGAGTTGCTTAAAGTATACCCACAAAATTTGGTTTTCTATTAAAACTATAACCTTAAATTGTTGGGCATAATTTTAATTTAAAACAGGTCTTTCTAGTGGAGAAAGCCTTTTGAAATCTTTTAAATTAGAATTAGCAGATCTGATCTTGACCTATTTTCAAATTTGGGGATGGGCCTTAGAATGTTATCATTTAAGAGGAAGTTTTAAAGGTACTACTAGTAGGGAATATTAAGGATCATAAAGTCTCAACAGAGGCATTGCAAACTACTGATTAAAGGAAAACAGAAGATAATTAATTGTTGAGCAGACCTGAGCATTGAAAATGTTGACTGTAACAGACAATGTCGTTGTTATATGCCATCAGGTTGCCTGCAACTCGTAGCAATCCTATGTAAAATAGCCTTAAACCCTGCTCTATCCTGTATCAAACTGTACTGTCTCTGACACACCTACTCACATCACCAAATCAGTCCATCTCATCCAGGCTCTTCCTGTCTTACGCTGTCTTGCAACATGTCTAAAGTATGTCAGATGAAGCCTCAGAGTCCTTGCCTCCAAGGAGCAGCCTGGCTTCACCTTCTCTAGGATGAACTTGTTTGTTCTCATAATAGTCCATGGTATATTCAGCACTCCTTTCCAACACCACAGTTCAACGGCATCAATTCTCCTTCAGTCATCCCTAGTCATTACCCAGCTTTCTGACTGACACACAGCAAGTAATAGCAAAGACTATAGCCAGGATTAGGCATACCCTCATCTCCGCAAACAGATGTCGTTGTGCTTCAGTACTTAGGAGAGGACTCTCATAGCAGACTTTCCCAATGCATTTCATCTTTCAATTTCCTGGCTATGGCTTCTGCTAAAATATCTTCCAGATAAGCCAGTTACAGTTTTGTGCCTTTTTGAGTGAGGCGTGGTGGAACAAATGTGGCAGGGATGGGATGGATGATTATAGACTCTTGGGTGAGATGTTGTTGTTGTTATGTGCCGTC